CTAATTAATAATTATTATATATATATACTACACACACACACACACAGTAACTCTTCACTTAATGTCCTCCCACTTAACGTTGTTTCAAAGTTACGTCGCTGCTCAATTAGGGAACATGCTCATTTAAAGTTGTGCAATGCTCCCTTATAACGTCGTTTGGCTGCCTGCTCTGTCCACTGCTTGTAAGATTCTGTGGAAGAGCAGTGACTTTACAAGGGAACATTGCACAAGTTCCTCTTCTCCTCCACCTTCCCCGGCAGGGAAGCGCTGGGAGGGAGGGGGAAGAACGGGTAAGTGCCGCGTCTGCGCTCCTCCCCCTCCCTCCCAGAAAGTCCTAAGCACGAAGTGCTGGGAGGGAGGAGGAGGAGCGGGAAAGCACCACGTCTGCACTCCTCCCCCTCCCTCCCAGAAAGTACTTAGGACTTTTCGGGGGGGAGGGGTGGGCGAAGGACCGGGGATGCAGCTGCTTTGGAGAGGAGGTGGAGTGGAGGTGGGAAGAGATGGGCCTGGAGTGGAGCAAGGACTGGAAGAGGCGGTCCTGGAGCATCCCCTGGCAAAGTCAGCGCCTGTTCTTCTCTGGGAAGCTGCTGCTGCAAAGGTGCTTCCTAGCGTCCTTGCCTGTAGCAGGCTGTGCCTGTGTGAGGTAAGCCAGGGGCACTTCCCAACCACAGTACAGTCCTGTACAGTATATAATGCCTTTTGTCTGCCCCCAAAAAATTTCCTTGGAACCTAATCCCCCGCATTTACATTAAAGCTTATGGGAAAATTGGATTAGTTTAACATCATTTCACTTAAAGTTGCATTTTTCAGGAACATAACTACAACGTTAAGTGAGGAATTACTGTATTAGTTTTTTAGGGTAAATGTACAGATACTATAAATTGTCAGCATCTTTAAGATAGGGATATTATGGTTCACTTTTGTCACTTTTTGTTTTGCTTTAGAAAATAAAAAATGCACCTTCTCCACGTCTCTTTTCCACGCATCTCCATTATGATGATATTCCCAAGGCTGTCTTTGAGAATAAGGTGAAGGTAAGTGAGCATTTTAATAATGGAGGGCACTATCCACTTTCCAAGCAACTCCCAGTTTTCTCTGGGAAGTTATTAGGTTTAGGGCTGCCTGGAAAACAAGAATTCTGTTTTTGCAAAAATTTCCAAGGTTTTGGAATTTGGTTTTGTTCCACAACCAAGACCTTATTTTTTGTGAAAAACCTAAGAAGAAAAAGAGAGCAGGCATCTGAACCTGAGTCGAAATAGAGACTTGAACACGGGTCTCCCACATCTCAGATAAGTGTTTAACCACTAGGCTATTGATTGATTTATTTAATGATTTTTCTTTCTTGTGTATATATATTAATCAAAAATTCCAGCCTGGCCAAAAATTCCAACCTCCAGAGGTTGGAGCTACAATCAAAATAGATAAAATAGAATTTAATTTTTACTGATCACTGCAATTGATGTAGATTTACTGATCAATGTAATTGAAATATAAAATTGTAAATGTATTGATTTACTGATCAATGTAATTCATACAAAGAAGTCAAATCTTAGATCCTAGCCCTGCAAGGTGATCTGTATGGGATAGCCTTTATTGCTCCTTGGAGCCCCCTTGAAGTTAGTAAGTTGTTCTCCTGTTCCCTACATTGCAGGATTGAGGCTTCGTTTTCCAAATTGCAGTTCCTGTAAGAGCTGCTATGTTTTTTTTTAATGCAGGACCCTTGAGCTCAAAGGTTACCTTAAATACCCAGGACTCATGTGACTTTGTTGTTTTAAAAGGTACTGGTGGTATTTCGAAATCCAAAAGATGTAGCTGTATCCTATTACCACTTCTACAACAAAAATCCTGGGCTTCCAAATGTCAGCTCCTGGGATGAGTTCTTTCAGAAATTCATGAGTGGAGCAGGTACAGTTATTAGATCTCGGCATGTATAAACACTCTAGTACAATGTTCTCAACTCTTCTTTGGTCTGTAGTCAAAAAAAGGAATCTGTGATCATCATGTTAAAATTAATCCCAAATGGATTCAAACTAATGATCTGGGTGGGGGACCTGGTGCTAAGGAGTTGAAGGTGCTTCTCCCTTGGCCAACCCTGGCAGAGTCCTCAGGAGTGGGAACATTGGTGTGGAGCCATTTGAATAATCAGGCTGATACATTTTACAGGGATTCTACTTCATCCCCAGCTTTACTCTCCCTCCAGAAGGCACCTCCCCCTTGTGATTTCACATCATAACAACTAGATTCGTGAGTCTCTCCTCCTTTGTTCTCAGCTCCATTTTTCTCATTGTTACACCTGCTCAGAGGTGCAGATGAATCTGTTTTAGCCTATGTCTACACTGTGAGCTGGGGTGTGATTTCCCCTTCTCATGTACACGTACATATTCATGCTAGCTCTCATCAAGCTAGTGTGAGTATAAATAGCAGCATAGCTGTAGTAGCACGGGTAACAGCAGCAGGGGGACAGCTAAGCTGTGAAGAGTTCATACTCACCATGGGTTTGTACTTAGTGCAGCTCAGCCATGGTGCCGCTGCCACGCCTCATGTCACCATGGCTACACTGCTAGTTAGGCTCACACTAGCACGATGAGCGGTGGCACAAGTGTACATGAGCAGGGGAATCAGACCGTGCAAACATAGCCCTAGAGACTCTCAAAATAAAGGTTTGGAGTACATTTTCAAAAGCACCTAAGTGACTAAGGCTCCTAATTCCCATTGTCTTTCAATCAGGCTTAGGCTTCTAAGGGCCAGATTTTTAAAAGTTTTTAAACACACCTAAAGATGCAAATAGATGCCTAGTGTGGTTTTCAAGAAGTGCCTAGGTGCCTAACTTCTACTGAATTTAAACACTTCTGAAAATTGCACTAGACATATTTAGATGCCTAAATACATTTAAATATCTGATCCTAAACATTGTTACTTTTGGAAATGGGACTTAGGCTTCTAACTCTCTTAGAACTTATACCCTTTATCTATTTATAGTTGCGCAGAGAAGTACAATCAAAATAGATAAAACCCCTTTTCTAAACTGAAGCACTCCATTTTTTATTCTATCATCTGTTGCCAAATAGTTCCAATTTCAAAGAGAGTTCACCCGGTAGGGACAGTCATGAGTGGCAAATTTCCTGTCAGGTCAGGGAGCTTCATAGCAATCAGGCTCAAACAGACCCAATGAAAACAACAGTGAGAGCAACCCTGCATTTCAAGTGATGCTCTCCTGGGGAAGGAGGAGGCAAGAGAATGAAAAAATGGCATTGTGGATTCCGTGTGTGTGTCTCAATTGCTTCCAGATCAAAAAAGCTAGGTTTACAAATAAACAATGTTTTATGTAACTGCCAGCCCCTCAAACTGTGAATCAGGCTGGGCTCTTTCCTTCTGTAGCATCACCACTAACAATAATTAAGGCTGTGAGTTTGTCACAGAGGTCATGGAAGTCACAGACTTTCCGTGACTTTTGCAGCGGCCGGTGCGCCTGGCAGCTTAGGCAGCCCCTGCGCCTGTCGCACCGGCTACTACTGGGGCAATCTCGGGCCACAGCCCCCGCCCCCCACAGCAGAAGAATTTGGGTGTGGAAGGGGCAGGTGGTTGGGGCACGGGATGGGGTGAGGTGGGCTCTGAGGGCGCTTACCTGGGGGACTCCCCGGAAATGGCGACATCCCCCTTGCTCAGCTCCTAGGCAGAGGAGTGGCCAGGCAGCTCTGCGCACTGCCTCCAGCTGCAGGCACGCCCCCACCGTGGTTAGACAATACAGGTATTCTATGAATATACATTACTCTTGTTTTAGTAATTTAATTTGTTGTATACTTGCCATGTAGAGTCTTGATGTATGGATTTATTCTGAAAAATATTTGCAAGGAGAAAGTGAAAAGTCAAGTCTGGAGTGAATGACTTCTTACAATCCATTTCATAAATGAAGTATGAAGAGGCAGTTGAAGGATTAAAAAATCTAATATCTGCAGGACTCTATATTGAAGTTAGCCTGTACATTTAATCTCAGGGGTAATTTAAATTTAAATATACTTTAAAGTATGTTAGGTTTAAACCTATCTCCTGTATTTCATTTCAGTCACCTGGAGTTCATATTTTGACCATGCTCTTTCCTGGAACAACCACATGGATGAAGAGAATATCATGATCATCACATATGAAGAAATGAAAGAGGTGAATTTTTTTAGAAATTAGACATGGGAAAAACCTGTTTGTATACAGAATTGTTCCCTTCAGTACATTCACAAGTATCTTATCCAGTCCGGTTTTCACTTTGTGCCAGGCAAAACCTTATTGTGAATTTCAAAGACTAGGAGAAGGCAGGCATATGAAATAGCAGTCCTTTTCTCCCACTGGCTACTAACTCTTCTATCTGCAGCCCACCTTCATTCTCCAGCAAGAAAGCCCTGATCCTCCTTAGACATGGGCTTGTGAGTAGTTCCATTTGCTTCAATGAGACTATTCACATGCTGAAAGTTAAGCATGTGCAAGTTTGCAGGATGAGGGCCTTAAATTTTTGGGGGCAGGTAATACCCATGTTTGTACAGAACAATACTAATTGATGCTGCTTGATAAATGTAATCAGTAGAAATAAATACTAAAAGAGAGAAACGCAAAAGACTGAGAGTATTCTCTTAACACATTTCCATTTGGCAAAGGGAGGCAGATACCAAAATCTTATTTAAAGTAACCACCCATTCCTGCAACCTCTTGCTGCTGAACTTAATATACTCGTCTAATGTTCTGCTCTGTGTATGGACGAGGATAAAATCTACTACATTCATTTGACAAAAGAGAAGAGGAAAATGCCAAGCATATTTTCTTTGACTCATACATAACTCCAAATTCTTGTTTTTCAGAACTTACCGGGAGAAGTGAAACAAATAGCTGAATTTTTGGGGTTCTCTCTGCCTGAGGAGAAGATTCAGTCTATTGCAGAGAATGCCACATTTGAATCAATGAGCAACAAATCCCAAGAAACACATGGCATATTAGCTCCCATGGTTTTCAGAAAAGGTACATTTATAGAGTGATAATAGTCATTTCAAGGCTTAGAACAGCTATCCAAATTGGTCATGAGCTAATTAACATTTAAAAGCATATGCCTCTTGTGGCCTCTGTGATTAACGTATTTAATTCATAGCTGATGATGAATTTTCACCTTTAGAAAATGGACATTCATAAGCAGCTGATCAACCGGGCACTTGCTGTTCTGTCAAAATATTAGCTCTCTCTTTTCAAGGGTGTTTACACATATACCTATAAAACTTACTGCAAGGCTTTTTCTTTAACCTTTAACTGGAATTACCCCATCCACATTCATACAAGATCCAAGCCTTTTGTGGGTTTGAAATTTGGCAATAAGTTCAGTCATGCCAGCTGTTTGTGTCAGCATTTCAATGTTATGTACCTGACCTGTGATGTTATAGTTTATTTCATTGTTCTTTTGCAGGTGATGTTGGTGATTGGAAGAATCTCTTCACTGAAGCTCAGAGCCAGGAAATGGATGCCAAATTTAAAGAGTGTTTAGCTGGAACTAAACTGGGAGCAAAGCTAAAATATGATAAATACTGCAAATACTAAATCTTAACTTCATTCTGATGCTACATCATCACCTATTTCACTTCCTTTCACATTTGAGAATGCATAGATTAAAACAATTTAGATCTTCACAAAATAAAGAAATCATGAGAACCTAGTAAATAATGGGTGAAATTCTGCTATTGGGCCTATATAGATTTAAGAGAAGAATTTGGCTGAACACGTAGAACATATGAATAGTATACCAAAGTTTCTGTGCCTATTTGAGATTATATTTTTTCTTGATCTGCCATTAATTCAAATTGAGCTCTGCTCCAGAGCCAAACTTTCTGAAAGCTCAGGGTGTTAAACTCCCTGGGCTTTTTCTTTGGGCTCATCTCTCAGCTTCAGTAGTTGATTTGGTCCTCTACACTCCAATAGTTTCTGCGACCTTGTATGAAATTGCTTTAGAGTTCACTGATCTGTGCTGATGTCCAATTTTCATCCTGGCAAAAGGTTAAAGGAGAACTCCTCCAGGTTCTGTACTGGGTCTAGTGTTGTTTAATATAATTATTAATGATAAAGAAAGGGGGGTGAATAATGAGGTAGCAAAAGTTGCCAACTGAAATAAGGTGTTGATGTTAGTCAAGACGAGAGGACTGTGAGGAACTTCAAGAGATCTCAACAAGCTAGGTGAATGGTTAAGTAGAAGTTTTTCTCCCACCGGCTAGGGAGAAAAACCTCTACTTACCCCTATCCATCTTAGCTGTTGGAACATAATCATGCATAGTTTTAAAAAGGCAATTATATGTCTGTCAATAGAAGGCCCTGGTCGTACCTGACTGATGCTTCTGCAGCTATAGGGACAGTTATGGAGTCACCTCATTCTGAAGAGGGCACTGTGCACACTACTTGAGCTGTTAAGAGATGTGAATGAGAGAGGGCAGGGTATGAAAATAGTGCTGAGATAAATATTCATCAGATAAAAATAGTGAGTGGAAGTCCTATGTAGGAAGCACACCTAGCAGTGAAGAAAGGGGAAAAAAGCATTTCCAACCATTCTTGATGCACTCTTTTACATGGGTGTTGGGGGCGTGGCGGCACCCGCTGGCTTGAAGTGGTTTCCATCATATACAGGGTTTAGAGTTTTGTTCAATGGCTTTCAGCACTTCCACTATACAAATTGTTCCAGAGCCACTGCTCTCTTATCAAAGGGTCCCAGGGCAGTTACACCAGGGGTCATCAACCTTCAGCACGCGGCCCATCAAGGTAATCTGCTGGCAGGCTGTGAAACATTTTGTTTACATTGACTGTCCACAGGCATGCCCCCCACCCCCGCCGCAGCTCCCAGTGGCTGTGGTTCGCCGTTCCTGGTCAATGGGAGCTATGGGAAGCAGCATCCAGCACGTCCCTGTGGCCCGCTGCTTCTCACCGCTCCCATTGGCCGGGAACGGTGAACCATGACCACTGGGAGCTGCCGGGGGTGGGGTGGGGAGGGCGTGCCTGCGAACAGTCAATGTAAACAAAATGTCTTGTGGCCCACCAGTGGATTACCCGGATGGGCCGTGTGCCGACAGTTGCCGACCCGAGTTACACCAATATATTAGCAATGGTTTGTCATCTCTGTGTGGTGGTGGCGGCAGCAGTAGTGATGTTTGCCTGTGAACCACTACCCTCTGCTGGACATAAACAGAACTATGTGTGACTACTGCTAGTTTCTCAAAATTCTTAAACCTAGTGTGTATCAAGCGACAGAGGGTCCTGTGGCACCTTTGAGACTAACAGAAGTATCGGGAGCATAAGCTTTCGTGGGTCAGAACCTCACTTCTTCAGATGCAAGAGATGTCTTGCATCTGAAGAAGTGAGGTTCTGACCCACGAAAGCTTATGCTCCTAATACTTCTGTTAGTCTCAAAGGTGCCACAGGACCCTCTGTCGCTTTTTACAGATTCAGACTAACACGGCTACCCCTCTGATACTAGTGTGTATCAGAGAACTCTAAAATGTGCGGCAATGGGACAAACTTAACAGCATTCTTTCTTCTTCTTTTCCTGGTGAATGGAGGGCAGGAGCTGCTGTAGTTATCTAAAATTGATCTAATGGTATTTTCAGGGTCTTCAAATCCATGAATTAGCTCATTATACCACTCTTGTGACATGTTTAGGGCATTAATTTACAGTACCTGTAAATCTGGTTTAATGTTTCCCTGACTCAGAATAATAAATCAATAGGAGTTTCTAGATCTTTACCTTAATTTACACTGTATTTGCATTTTTTTTTTGCTTTAACTCAACCAAATAAACTTATAGAAACTGAGGTTACTTTTGCCTGTTTGCAAAGGGCTGTACATATCTATGATGGTGTTATGCAGACAAAACTACACAGGGATCGTTTCAGGGGGCAAGACAAAGATGCCACATTTATTATGATAACACAATTTGATTTATGACCAATAACGAATACCTATACACACACACACACATATATATATATATATATATATAAATGTTCTGCAGCTGCTGCATAGTTATCAGTCCTGAATGTAGCTTGAGTTCATGGCTTGATTTTGCAGCTTGGGTTCGTGGCTTGTGGCGGCTAACTGGCCAGGAAAGCCGGGCACAAGGAAGGGCTGGGTCTCTGTTGGGCAGGCACCGATGCCCTTCCATGTTGGCAGCAGAATGTTACCCTCCAAAGTCTTCCATTTCACCCATCCTTTTTGTAGGCTTTAGTTTAACTCCAGAGTCTATAGGTCTTGCTGTATCAAGCTGCCTCTGGGTTTGGTGATTGATCACCCATCAATTGCAGACCTGACTTTCAGCCTTGGACCTGGCTTTGATCTTCCTTCTATTGTACCTTTGTTCTTTTCTTTTTAGGGTGGACTCTTCTTAACTTGTTAGGGCTCTTGTCTGCATCTTCAGCCCTTGGTGTTTGAACTCTGTTTCATCAGGACAGGCTGGTGCTGGAGGTTGATTCCATCATCCATACATACCTCATTCACACATCTCAACTAAACTAATGAGATTACAGCAGGGTTTGCAAAAATGAAGGTTGGAGCCAGCTTTTACAAACTGGAGTAAGCGTTTTAAAATGGAGTTTGAATTACAATATGGCAAATAGTGACCAGAAGTAGACAAGTGTAGTGAAAGGCAAAGAGTGAACAGAAGTTACAATATAGACAAGTGTAGTGGATGGCAAACAATGAACAGAAGTTACAATGTAGGCAAGCATAATGAATGGTGAACAGAAGTTACAATACTGAAACAGTGCAAGTCTCAGGGTACATCTACACTACAGGGGGGAGTCGATTTAAGATACGCAAATTCAGCTACGTGAATAGCGTAGCTGAATTCGACGTATCGCAGGCGACTTACCCCGCTGTGAGGACGGCGGCAAAATCGACTTCTGCGGCTTTCTGTTGGCGGCGCTTACTCCCACCTCCACTGGTGGAGTAAGAGCGCCGATTCGGGGATCGATTGTCGCGTCCCGACGGGACGCGATAAATCAATCCCCGAGAGGTCGATTTCTACCCGCCGATTCAGGCGGGTAGTGTAGACCTAGCCTCAGTGATTTAAGCAGGAAATGGATTAATAGTGAAATTTACAAAGGCAGCAGGCTGAACAACTGTGGCTCTTAACAAGCATCTTAATTGTCAATTAGCCAGTTATTGGGGTAACCGGTTTTATGAATGAATGTTGTTTCATTCATAAAACTTTATTTATGAAGTTATATTAATAAAGTGAACAATTAAAAATAATTTCATTCATCAGTTCTACAATGGAAATGTAAAAATCCTTATTTTTGTAGCCCAAGGTCCAGTATGATTTAACAGCAGATGTGGGAACTACAAAGTGTGGAATGCTGGGAGAACATCCTGGTTCCCCCCAGGATGTATCCTCTGCCATTTGCAGCGGGAAATTTCAGCACTGGCTGAAGCTGGGAGCAGGAGGTAGGCAAGCCGAGAGGAAGCTGCTGGACTGTAATCTTGTTCTATGTTTCTTTATAGGTAGGACCAAAAAGGGCTTAAAGAGCATCCTGAGAGGAGTTTGAATGACACAAAAGGAGAACATGGGCTTGTTTCTTTTGAGGTTTAGTTATTCTGGGAGTTAGAACATGTTTGTAAGGGGGTTGTGTTATACAAAGTCCCCTCTGCCCTCCCACCTGGAAGTTTCAGCACTGACTGAAGCTGGGAGCAGGAGGCAGGTAAGCAGAGAAGATGCTGCTCTCCTGTTCTCTGTTTCTTTGCTAAACCTAAAACTTTGTTCCTAGTGGTTTGTCTGAGTGGGTCTGGTCTGAGGTGAATACACATTGACATGTGTATTCTGGCTCTAGGCTCCAGCAAACCAAGCATGTGCTTGGGGTGGCACATCAGGGGCGGCATTCCAGCCATCTTTTTTTTTTTTGCTTCGGGCGGCAACCGCCTAGAGCCAGCCCTGGCACCAGCGCATCATGGACGGGGGCGCCCTGGGGCCACTCTGGTTCACGCCATAAGGGAGTAGTGCTCACACCTTGTGGCTGGGCCGGGCAGGCTCAGAGCGGGGGACACTCGGGCTGGGGGCCGCCCCATGGGGCACTCGGAGCCGCCTGTAGGTGCTGCAGGGCGGCTGCCCCCCAGCGCCGCAGTCGGGGCTGGGCGAAGCGGCCCAAGCCACCCAGGGACTGCGGGAGGGGGGTCAGAAGCAGCAGCAGCAATGGGGCCATAGAGGGCGGAGTGCTGCCGTGCAGGGTCCGCGTCCTGCTCTCCAGGCCTCCGTTCCCTCTGGGGCTACCCTGCCCCAGCTCCTCAGCCCCCTGCTGGGGCGGTCCCCCGGCTCTGCCCTCCCGGGTCCCGGCTGGTCCTGGAGGCGGGAGCCCTGGCTGGAGGGACCCTGGGCTGAGGCGCGACCCGGGAGCCCCGGTGCTTACCCTGACCCTGCCAGTGCCGGACTGGCTGGAGGTGAGGGGGGAGCAGGCGGAGTCAATAGTGGTGCGGGGGAGCCCAGGAATGGGGTAGCAGGGGGTGCGGGTGGGGGAGGGTGAGAGCCCAGGGCTGAGGTGGGAGACAGCCAAAATTTTTTTTGCTTGGGGCGCCAAAAAAACCTAGAGCCGGCCCTGCATACAACACAGAGCATACAGAGGAACCCCAAGCCCAAAGTTGTGTAAAAAGCCACAAGGTAGACTTACCCTATCTTGAACAACCTCACACTGAGCCAGTGGACAGGAGAGGGGCTACATTTCCATAACCAAACTCCAATAATGTGATTATATGCATAGACCATTCCTACCCATGTGGTACAAATGTTGGGGTTTATTTAGAATAGGCAGGTTTAGTCTTAAGGGATCCATCTCCTAAACACACACTATAGATGGGAGGCATATTTCACACTCTTTCCTTTGAGAATCTGTTGCTCCTGGCTGTTGTGCTCCTCCATTCTCAACACATCCCCTTGTCACTAGTTTTACTGGCTTTGGCCAACGTTCTCCTCCCTCATTCCTTAAGATAAGTATGGTCAAATCATGGCACCTCTAGTGTTTGATTAATTTCACTAATATTTGTCAAATAGTAGTATTGATAACACATTTTATAGAATCAGCCAACTCACTAGCTGGCCAAAAGCTACCCAGGAAATATATTAGCTGATGGAATTCATTAGATATAGTCATTGGCTAGAGTTAGGTGGCTCCCCACCTAGCGTGCTGGCTTTGGGGATCACATTCTAAGATGTCCATCTCTCCCCATTCATTACAGAGGGGTTACGCGCCTAACTCAGGCTTTGTGGATCCTAGTGTTGTTCCTGTGATTTTGTAAGAGCCTGGCTCCCTTTTGCGGAGCTGGGCTGTTTTTTCTTTTCCGTATAATATTGTCAGATTCTCAAACCATCGCAGGTTCAAGAAAGCCAGTAATATCTCTAATCTTGTTGTAGATGGCTGTGTATTGACTCTCTTTGATGCTGTGCAGTTGAAACTCATATTTTATAGTGTCAGCATTTCCTCTCCCCCGCCTTCCCCGGGAAGAAAGGGAAACAGTGGAAGGGGATGAATGGACTTGCTTGGGTATCTGCATGTAGCAGGGCAAGTTAGCTAGAAGGGCCCATGTCACAGGATGTCTGACCCTTTCAGTGACAATGGGGCCAGCTCCACCTATGCTGTAATTAATGGTCCCTGCCTGAGCGGGCAGGACAAATGGGGGCAGGGGTTAAGACGGCAACCACCCGGGCCTCAGAAGAAAAAGGCCTAAAAGAGCAGAGGCAGGAGCTGGGCCCGCAGAGGAGCGGAGTCGGAGCAGTGGCTGGTTCTGCAGGAGGGGCAGGCGGCTAAACTGCAGCCCCCGAAGGGGGAACCGAGGCTCAGGCCTGGGGAGGGGGCACGAGCGGAGCCCCGGGCTCTGCAGAGGCTCCCGAGTCCCCGCTGAGTCCGAGCCCGAGCCCGCGGGGCGGGGAGATGCTGGGTTTGGGCTCCCTCCTCCCTGCTGCGGCTCCTGCAGGGCAGCGGCTGCTTGAGAGGGGCAGCCCCAGCCCGCCTCCCTGCTGCCCCGGCCGCTCGGCTCTGCTCCCGGCACCCGCAGAGGAGGCGGGCCCGGTAGGCTGCGGCGGCTCCTTTCGGTTTCGATTCCGGAGCCGATCCGGGGGCGGAACGTGGCGGCTGCTGGGGGCCGGGGGAAGCCGCTGCAAGGAAACGAAACCGGGACCGAGCCGGCTGACTGCGGAGCCGGAGCAGGGAGCCGCTGTCGCTGTCCCGCCGCCCTCCGAGCGCCGTCCCCAGCCAGGCGGTGAGTGCGGGACGCGAGGGGAGAAGGGGCCGCTGCGTGGGCGGGTCGGGGAGAGGCTGGAGCTGTGGGGGAAGCGCAGAGGGAAGATTGAGATTTGGGGGTGAGTCGGCCCCAGGGAAATCGTCGGGCCCTTTCTCAGCCCGGCAGGCTCCTGCAAGGGGGGAAGGGGGGAGCCATTAGTACAGACTATAGAGGTTGACGGGGGGGGGGTAAGGGGTAGGATGGAGGAGATGACCTGGCGTGCCTCGGCTCTGGGTATTTTCTGCTTCCCCGAGACCTGTCACTAGGCTGCAGCGTGTGAATTGGAACAGGCTTGAACTTGCCCCGCACAGCCAGAGTTGGGCTAATGAAGAACTGGGCTTCTGGTCCTATGACAAAGAAAGTGTTAACATTGTCGTGACTGTTTCTATCTCTGGAAACTAAAAAAGACAAAGAGGGGACTCCGCATCATTGGTGGCATCACTTACCTCAGCAAAGTGACATGGCCAGGAAATAGGAGCAGTGCTGGGGACTGCGGGTATTCTTGGGAAGCCACCAGTGACTTCTTTTCCCCTTACAGGGGCAAAGTAAACATCTAAATATAGGTGGTTAGCAGCCTCTAAGTAAGGGGTGGGCAAACTTTTTGGGCCGAGGGCCACATCGGGGAATAGAAATTGTATGGTGGGCCATGAATGCTCACAAAATTGGGGTTGGGGTGCAGGCTCTGGGGTGGGGCTGGGGATGAGGAGTTGGGGTGTAGGAGGGTGCTCTGGGCTGAGACCAAGGGATACAGAGGTTGGGAGGGGGATCAGGGCTAGGGCAGGGGTGCAGGTTCTGGCTGGGGCTGGGTATGAGAGGTTTGGGGTGCAGGAGTGTGCTCCGGGCTGGGATTGAGGGGTTTGGAGAGCAGGATGGAGATCAAGGCTGGTGCAGGCTCCAGGCGGTGCTTACTTCAAGTGGCTCCCGGAAGCAGTGGCATGTCCCTTCTCCGGCTCCTACAGAAAGGTGCTGCCAGACGGCTCTGCACGCTTCCCCATCCGCAGATACTGCCCCTGCAGCTCCCATTGGAGCACGTGGGAGCTGGAGTGGGGCCATGCTGGGAGCTGTGTTGTGCGGCCCCTGACCCTGCGCCCCGGCTGGAGTGCTGGAGCAGGCCAAGCCGCGTGGTGTAGCTCATGGGCCAGCTTAAAATGGCTCATGGGCTGCAGTTTGCCCACCCCTGCTCTAAGTAGAAGTTAATGCAGCCATTCCTTTTGGAAATGTGACACTTGTGTGTGGGCAGGGGAGGTTATGCTTATGATCCGTATCTCTGACATACAGACTACTAGGCACCCAGTCACAACAATGGATTTGAAGTCCCACTCTTCCAAAAGTTTTATATTACAAAACAAATGCTACAAGGGAGTATGGGGAGGGAGAAAATCATTTGGATATATTCTTATACTGCTGTATGAATGCCATGCTCCTCTGTAGCACTTCTGGCATGTTGAAATTCAGAGAGAGAAAGATGTTAATTGCATTCCCAGTAGTAGTGAATCAAACTGCTACCTTACCTCTGTGTCAGAAAGGAAACAAATAAAATACTAACACAAGTTAACTATAAGTAATCAAAAGAGTTGGGATATGATTTTCCCTGCTGCTGTTCCTAGTACTCTCAGATTGTTGGTCTTCCAAAGTTTCAATTTTTCTTTCTAAAATCATATGGCTTTAAACTGAGGTTTTAGATATAAGGATAGTGACTTCCTTTTCTATTTTTAGTGTAGTTCTTTATCTCTTTCTCTGTACATTAGGGTCCAGATTCTAAAAGATATTTAATAGGGCTGTCAGTTAATTGCAGTTAACTCACACTATTAACTCAATTAAAACTGCTATTAATTGCAATTAATTTTTAATAGCACTGTAAAACAATAATATAAGTAAATTGGTGTTCTAAATATTTTTGGATATATTGATTTCAGTTAAAACAGAATACAAAGTATACAGTGCTCACTTTATATTTTTGATTACAAATATTTACACTGTAAAAAAGAAACAAAGATATAGTATTTTTCAGTTCACCTCATACAAGCACTGGAGAGCAATCTCTTTATTGTGAATGTGCAATTTACAAATGTAGATTTTTCGTTTGTTACATAGCTGCACTCGTAGGTGCCCACTTCTAATGGTGCCGGAGGGTGCTCGACCCCCCTCTGCCCCTGGCCCCACCCCGACTCCACCCCTGTCCTGCCCCCCCCTCCCGCCCCCCATTCCAACCTCTTCCCCAAAGTCCCTGCCCCAACTCCGCCCCCTCCCTGCCCCTATTTGACTCCATCCTCAAATCCCTGCCCCAACCCCGCCTCTTCCCCGCCTCCTCCCCTGCGCCACGTTCCCACTCCTCCCCCCTCCCTCCTGGAGCTTGCTATAGCTGTTTGGCGGCAGCAAGCACTGGGAGGTAGGCAGAGGAGCGGGGACGCGGGGCGCTGGGGAGGAGGTGAGGTGGGGGGGGAAGTTTGGCTGCCAGTGGGTGCCCTTGGGTGCTCCAGCCCCGGAGCACCCACGGAGTCGGTGCCTATGGCTGCACTCAAAAACAAAACAATGTAAAACTTCAGAGCCTACAAGTCCACTCAGTCCTACTTCTTGTTCAGCCAATCGCTAAGACAAACAAGTTTGTTTACATTTTCAGGAGATGATGCTGCCCGCTTCTTACTTTCAGGTGACATTGTAAATGAGAACAGGCACTCCCATGGCACTGTTGTGGCAGTATTGCAAGGTATTTACATGCCAGATACGCTAAATATTCGTCTGTCCCTTCATGCTTCTACCATCATTCCAGAGGACAAGCTTTCATGCTGACAACAGGTTCCGCACGGTAACAATCCAAACAGTGCGGACTGACGCACGTTCATTTTCATCATCTGAGTCAGATGCTATCAACAGAAGGTTGATTTTCTTTTTTGGTGGTTTGGATTCTGTAATTTCCGTATTGGAGTATTGCTCATTTAAGACTTCTGACAGCATGTTCCACGCCTCATCCCTCTCAGATTTTGGAAGGCACTTCAGAGTCTTAAACCTTGGGTTAAGTGCTGTAGCTATCTTTAAAAAATCTCATATTGGTACCTTCTTTGCATTTTGTCAAATGTGCAATGAAAGTGTTCTTAAATTGAAGAACATATGCTGGATTAAAGCAACAGAGGGTCCTGTGGCACCTTTGAGACTAACAGAAGTACTGGGAGCATAAGCTTTCGTGGGTAAGAACCTCACTTCTTCAGATGCAAGTAATGGAAATCTCCAGAGGCAGGGATATATCAGTGTGGAGATAACGAGGGTAATTTAATCAGGGAGGATAAACTCGGTATCTCCACACTGATAT